TCTAATATAATTAATATTAGACTTATATAAATATTAAAAAAAAAATATTAGCAAATTATAGAAGTTAAAAACCTTAAGAACAATAACCCGAATTTGTGTTGCAACTGCATTTTTTTCATATATGTATTGTATTTTTGCAAGTATATCATCAATGTTAGAAATGAAGTTTCATTTGAAGATAAAGTAGTTTCAGTAATATAACCAAGCTCTTGAGAATATACTAGCTTAGAACAGATCTTTGTATAATCAGTCATTAATAAAATTGGTCCTTCCTATTTTAATTCCTTCATTATACATGCAAATCTCATTACATTTTCTATAATTAAATTAGGATCTGTGATTAACTCAGGATTTGAAACACATATTTGGCTTAAATAATTAAAATATGATTAATATTGCATATGAAAAGTTGAAAACAAATAAATATATATACTGTATTTTTTGAATAGACATTCCTCCTAATTCTTTACGAAAAATTTCATATTCACGACTACTCTCAGATAATAAGCTAAAGAAATGTGTGAGATGTTCAGAATATTGCAGGCTTTCATACTAATACCTGCATCTTTTTTTGTTTTCATTTGTAACATTAAAGAAGCTAATTCTGTAAATGTCTTTTCATCACTAAAAGCACCATTCATTCCCATTTGAGCTAAAGATATTCACATTGCAGTATCATTGTTGTTAGAAATCATACAAGTCCATAGATTTCTAAGATTTCCATTTCTCAAAAGTTGAATTAAACGGGTATCAAAATAAAATTTTGGTATATATTTGATTGATAGTGGTATTGCACATTTCTTGTATCAAAGAAATTAAAATTTTAATATTAATGATATTTTAGCAATAAAAAAACTAACTTAATTAACTTATGGCTTTTAATGCTTCATTTAATCTCTTGTTATTGTGTAAATTATTACCTTCATCACATAAACCTGAAAACTTTGTTGTCATAATTATACAATTTATACTCCGAATCACTCCTTCATATTGATCTATTTTCCAGGTAGCTGCCGCTTGCAATGCAGTATTAAATTCTTGGGTTTGAACTTTATTAAGTTTCTTATGACAGAAAGGAGTATCTTGTGAAAACATCTCAGGAATAAGGTTCTTTCCAATTACTTCAGGCCTTTCTTTACCACCAAAAAAGGCTGGAGAACTGGTAGCATAAACTGTGTACAAATCACCAAATAAACCAATACAAGGCAAGAATTCATGTGATTCAACTTCATCTTCTTTTGTATCTTAGCTTTGGTCAAAGAAGACATATAAACTTTGTTGATTATTAGTGTCAAGAATACAGTTACGACTTTTAATATGTCTTTCAAAATTTGATATTCTAAATGGACGGTTTAGTCGAACTATAATTCCACATTTACACTAGACAGTTTTTTCATCTATAATTTTATCAAATTTTGGAAATGACCTAAACTGAGAAATCTGAATATTAGTTGGTTGCTTGCGAATTGGTGGCATTGTAAAGTAAAAAAATAATAAACAGTCAAGAAAAAAAATTGGAAACAAAAAAAATATGTTTTAATTTTACGTGATGCTAATTTTCGTGCATTTTCGGTTCTGCAATTCTGCTTGTTCCAAAATGCCAAAATGTCAAGCAATAAAACCAAATAAAGCTAAAAACGTTTATCAATCATTCCATTTTAAATAAATTTAAAAAATCTTACAGCTGGTAAAGGAGGGCAAAGGACTGGTAAAGGATTGAATTTTAAAATTTTTTTCTAAAAATCAAACCAGGAAATATAGCATATATGTAATATATATATATCTATATCTATATTTGCGAATCATACTATATACGGTAACTTATTTACATTTTATCATTTGTGAACCATTTAAAAGCGGTAACATAAATTAACACGAATCGCAAAATACTGTGACCTTTCCAATATTATATGAGTGTGAATCATGCCTATCTGGTAACATTTTTTAAAAATCTATAAGTCTCTGAATTATGTTTGGCAGTAACATCTATTAGAAGTTTTTCAGGTCCTGTTTTGATAGATAAGATTCGTATCAAATTATATAAAAGATATAAAAAAGAAACTGGATATGAACCATGGCAATTATCAGAAGCTGTGACAAGTGTATCAGCAAAACCTCAAGCCTCTGATTTCAAGCCTATCACTTATGAAGTCACACTCTATCCAGAATTAATTATTGAATCTGTCTTAGAGCACTTAGAGCATTTCACATACCTGAAATTCTGAAATAGTTTTAGGGGAATTGATAATTATAATTTTGCATTAGCTCAGCCATGAAACTTAACATACCCTATCTGTGATAAAAAACATGGAAATTATGAATTATATGATGAATAGTATAACAATGGAACAGAATATTGTCTTACCTGCAACAGTTCAAGCAATAAACTCAAATTCGCAATCATAGCATAGAAACTTCATCATATACAACGGGCTAGTCCTGCAATTGTATTTATTTTTTCAGCTGAATGGGCATATGGGTGCCTTATTGCAAAAGAAATTTCATCTTGTGAATTGATAATCTGAAATGCATAGTAGTATGATATCAGAAATTTTTCTTTTTTTTCTCCATATAGAATTTCATTTTAATCTATCATCTGCTTAGAAGATATTTTCGAATTAAAAGATATTCTAACCATATAAAAATGCATACAGTTAATTTACTAAAACAACTTCCGCCTGAACTAATACCATTTATTCTAAAGAATTTATCAATTCAGGATCTTTATAATTGTCATAACATAAATAATACATGGAAAAAGGAAGTAAATCTTGAATCCTTTAGAAGACCTAGAGAGGAACAATTAAAACATCAGAATTTTATATTCAATAAGTTGTATTATCAGCCTAAAGGTTATTATCAAACTGTCAAAAAAATGCATGATGCTTGTGAGAAGACTGGATATAAGTTTACTCTCGCAGAAGTAGAAAATTGGCTAAAAAACAGGTTATATATCAGAAATGCAATCCTCCACCATTAATGGTCCGAAGCAGATATTATCAAATTGCTCAAATATGTCTTGACATTGCATAAGCCCAATTAAAGGATGATACAATTTTGTTCTTCAAAATTGCGACGGTTCCTTTGTATTCGCGTTACGCAAAATCGATCAACGATTTGTCAATTTCTAACCCATGATGTGGCACAGTAAATTTTCCCAACTGTCAAAGCTATTCCGGCTTCCTGTGATCCAAATACTTCACACCTTGGCTTGTTTTAAAGCTCTCAATGCCCTGCATCTGGTCGAATTGGTTTGGGGTTTCTACAACATCTGGATCACGTTTCGTAGGTCAATACTCATATAGTGCAAATAATACATTAGGGGACTCACTGGGTAGCTATGAATTCTTGCATAACAACCTACCAATTACTCACCTCCTTTAGGTTCTCAGAACCAAAAACTAGTATTTTGTAGGTTTCCAGGTCATCATCATTTCTCACGCCACTTTGGCAATCTTGCCTCCACAAGATTCTTTCGTGATTATGTCTAAAATAATTGACCTTACATT